ACATTTTTCAATGTTTTAGCACAGAGAAAAATCTTATTAAATGTCTCTTTTTTTTTCAATTTTTCTGAAATTCGAAATGGTATATTAAACAAGACATATTTGCTCGGAATCATTTTATACTCAGGCAAATCGAACATCTATTTTAAGACATTTCTAACCAGAAGTATATTAATAGAAACCGACTCGTATTGACAAGTCAGCACCTGATTTTCAAGGTTACTAATGAGCCCACAAAGAACGATCATGAAGCGTGTGAGTGGCATGGAATATACACACCTCGATTCGATTGTTATTCCACAATTCTGTTACTATTCAGACTCCCCCCACCGAATCTGTTCCACGATTTCTAGGGCGGCCAAAATAAATTCCTTTTATATGTCTGTAGGACCATATATTTCCGCTCCGACAATCCAAATGAATTCGATTCAACCAGCGAGGAGACCTTTTGCTAGGGAAAGTCTTATTCATCTTTTTGGAATAATATGCATTGTGTGGTCTTCCTGCCCGGGCAAAATAACCCCCGTGGATTTTTACAGATTGTTGCAAATGCCTGTGATAGGTATGATTTGCTTTGGTCAGAGTCTCAATTGGGGTGAAGGGGAAGATTTTGACACTGGGAAGTCGAAAACATATTGCAGGTGAGGAGGTGTAGAGAAAAAAAGAATAATATTACAATTTTTTATATTTTCGAGTGTTACAACTGTTTGTGGATGAGATTTGAGTATGAGATGACTGGTTGTTAAATGGCAGTCTGATTTTGAAGTAGATTTGTATCGATTCAGATGTTGTAGTTGAGCTGTTTGCGAGTGATAGTGATCGATATTTTTTATTTCAAACGTTTAAAATATTTCCAAATTCATTTTCCTTTATTTATTTTGTGAGATTTTCTTTAATAATAACGCACATTACAAGTATATTCCAAAATATTTTGTTTTATTTTATGTTTATTGAATAACTACTGATCACTGTGCGTTATTCTGGTTTTGAAAAAAGTACGTGTTACTCTACTTGCAAATCGTTCAGTTCAATTTTTTTAAAAAATAATTTTAAAAAAAATTAATTAAACTTATTTCTGTGCAATTTTTTCATAAGCTCTTAGTTACTTTAAATGATGTTATGACTTGCGGCCATAATGCATAATTAAGTTATTCTCCTTTCAACGAAATTGTCTAGGACCTACGATTTTTTTCGATGGCTGGTTGATGCGAATTCTGATCCCGTCTCGCACCGACCACAGTGCTGAAGTTATCTATTTTCAGTTACAGACGGATCATGGATTAGAATCCCTTTGCGGTTGGGGTAACCGTGGGAATTTTTCTGCGGTTTTCCTCTCCATATAACGCAAATGCGGCTTAGTTCCATCAAAAAGTTCTCTACAAATTCTAGTTTGTTCCAAATGCTTGATCCAGGAATTCCTTTGTCATTTGGGTTGGGTTCAAAGTTACAAGGCTGCTGAGTTGAACGTTGATAGTCGTTAACTCAAAATTGGGTGAGCTGTTCAACACTGGCCATAAATAAAGAACAAAATTAAACCCTCATAAATTTTTCAAAAATATTTCTTCACGTCAATCGTTTTTTTTTTTAAATTTATTTATTTATTATTTTTTTTTTTTATAAACATGGCACATAGCTATAATCTATCTATATCTATTGCATAAGACTAGAAAATTACCTATAGTACATAGATAATTATAATATCTACAGCAAATAGCTATAAAATTATAGCACTGTTGATACAATTCTAAGGAATGTTGATATAATTATATACAATAATACATAATATAATTGCAATACATTTTTATAAGTTTTCTTGAAAAAATAAATCCTCCTTTTGTTGAAACTTACTTTTACAAGGTTATTTGTATGGACGTATAGATCATTTGTTTCAAGCCCACATACTTCACATTTCTAAAATAAATTAATGATCTCTAAATTAAATGTCTTCCTTTAAGAAATCTTGCAACTTATAAGGCGAAGCACGAAATCTAGATTTTTTTAATGCATATATTAGTAGTTTCGACAATTTAACAACAATTTAATGTCGAGATAAAATATATAATGACTTAGCGTAGAAGATTATTAAATAACTCGAGTGTCATGACATAAATTACAATTAATTTCACTTTCTCACATTTGTAATATCTAGGGTAGCCCTTACTGAAAATAAAGATTCTTCTGTCATAAAGGGGTAAAATTTCTAAAAATTCTACTTTGAGATTCCTTACCATTGCTCCCTAACTATTCTTCGATTACACATAATGGTGATAAAGATGGAAAAGGGGTAAACTGTGGAGTACGTGATCAAGGTGACATAGTACTCGATCTTAAAAGAAATATCATCGATCATGGCCAACAATGAATGTGCCTTGGTGTATTTTTGTTCTTTTTGGACTAACATTTCCAGGTGGACAATTATACGAAATTTTGGAACTTTGGGCTTGGCTTTTTGAATTGATTAGCATAGTGGGAGGTATGTTTCTTTAAAATCCAAGCCAAATGATTCAGTGTTTTTTGAATTCTCATGCTGTTTCTTGTTATCTGTACTCAAAATGAGAGAATTTCTTTTGATTTACATTTTCGAAGATCTGAAATAGTAATTTGATTACGTAATAATATTAGGTACATGTTATTGTAAAAGATCGAAAGTGTGTGCAATGCCCAGTTGATCTGAAAATAAACTGGTTCAGCTGTAATTTAACAGTTTTCAGCATCTTGCCTAGAAAATGAGCGCATTAACTGTTTTCCTAATGTCAAAGTTCAAAAGTTTTTCTCATTCTGCTGATTGTTTGATTCTTTAAATTTGTTGATTGTTTGATTGTAATTATTGAATTAATTCCTTGAATATGAAAAGACGAATGATTTTTTTTAATTGTATTTATTGAATTGATTCCTTAAATATAAAAAGACAAATGATTGCTTGATTGTATTTATTGAATTGATTATTCAAATATAAAAAGACAAATGATTGTTTGATTGTATTTATTGAATTGATTCTTTAAATATAAAAAGACGAATGATTGTTTGATTATACTTATTGAATTGATTCCTTAAATATAAAAAGACAAGCGATTGTTTGATCGTATTTATTGAATTGATTCTTTAAATATAAAAAGACAAATGATTGTTTGATTGTATTTATTGAATTGATTCTTTGGGGACTGAAAAACAGATATATGACGTTATGTTAATTTCCTTAATTGTAATAATATTTTAAACCATTTGATGTTTTGGATTATAGTTTTTAAAGTGATAGATGATTAATCCTATCTATTATATTGACTGTAGTAACTTTCTTTTTTAGATAGCAAAAAGTAAATCAATTGCATTATGTTAACCTAGCAGAACTAACGTGCAGTTAACTTGCTAACGTGCAGAAACTTTGCTGTTGTCTCATCAGAGATCTTATTTTTACTTTAACTAGTGCCTAATATGTAATGTGCAGTTTGCCTTGGTTAGTTTGCAGATTATCTCGGTAATCTGAATAATTAAACTATTTCTTAGCACTTTAACGAACCAACCTAGTTAAATTGCACGTTAGTTAGGCTAGATGATATATTTATACTCCGTGGTTTTTTAATTTTGAATCAAACCGGGAAGACAAGGGAACTTCTGAATCAAGTATTGGGACAAACTAGCCTTCGTAGAGGACTAAAGCTAGATGATCTGAAGAATAATTAGTTTCTAACTTTAGCAGTAACATGTCCAGAGTTACCCACCTATATTACATTCAGTTACTTATGTATTACAAACAGCCAGTCTTATACGGGGTTCTCTGAACTGTCCGCTCTTATTATTTATATTTAAGATCTTTGCCAAAAGTGAAAAAAATAAACACACTTTAAAGACCTCGAATTGAGAGAAAAAAAAAACCTTTTGAAATAGGACAAATGACAACATATAGCTGTTTGATTGTTGGTCGAAAAAGAGAAATCATTTATTACACCTCAAAGATTTTCCGGCAACGAAACTGGTTTTGATGTTTTTCATTCAAAATTCCACAGCAATGTTCCAACAAATTGCTGCATCTTTTTCATTTCTACCTCGCTTAAATATTAATTTGCGATCAATATAATGTGTATATTTTTTAAACTTCATTTTCAAAAAAAGATTCTAAAAATATATATTATGGGCTTTTATTATGAAACTGTCATTTTGCAATGGGGAAAAAAAATACTTTTATGGGGAGGGAATCAAATGATCATATGAAATGAATGTTTTATTTGTAACCATCAATTTAATAAAATCATACTTTAAGAATTGGAACAATCAAGATTTGTTTTAAGAATTTTTGTTGTTATGATTTAAATATATTTATGATGATTCCTACTGTTCAAAATTTGAGAGATATTTAGAAAGCATTCTTTCGGTAGAGAATTTTTAAAGCTTTAGAATTAATTTGTGAGGAATCCGATTTTCAACTGCGGTTCACTAGTTAAGAATTTTTTAAGATAAAAGGTAAAATTATCACAAAAATAATAATAATAAATAAAAATAAAAACACTTTTATTTTTTCAATAAGTATTCAAAAACAATAATTTTGAAAATGATCCTATCAGACAATATAAATTATAGTAACACAGTAATGTATAAAATTTAGCCTGTTTATTCTGAAAAATATTAAAAGCAAATTATAATTTAGATCATTTTCCAATATATTCTTAAAAGAAAATTAATGCAGGAATTCTCGTAATTTTTAAGTTGTTATGAAAACTAAAGATGTTAAAATATTTTTTTTAAAAACTATTATTACTTTTATTTCGTACATTAAAGGTTAGCTAAGATTAAATAACAAATACAACTTATTTTTCTGCATTCAATCAGTTAAGCTGTTTAGACGAAGTTCTATGATTCGCAACCATTCGCGATTCTTTTCGTTTCGGATGAACGACATATGAAGTTTTCGCGATTTCAAGCTTCTCTGATTAGAAATGACCGCTTGGTGGCGTCCGATGCAGGCCGTTTCAGCGACGTCACACTGAAACGTCACGAATCGGAATTTCTCTCTCTTCACCCCAGTCCCCTTCTTCACCCTCTTTGCCGGATTCCGCCGCCACATCAAAGCTCTTCCCATTTTCATTCCTCAGAGCGCTGCCGTGCCTCCTTGGACGTGGAAGTATTATCTCGCTCGTCCGCAGATCCAGTTGTGAGGGGAAAAAAATAAACAAATAACAGTTGATCGCTCGCAGTCGAAAAGCGGAGTCATCCACCTTTTCAAGTGCGCGCAGACGATATTTCTTGATATGTGAAACATGTCACTAAAAATCCAAGTTTTCGTTGACGGATTATGTGCAACAAAATGAGGAATTAAATCAGACGATTATAAATTGTGGAAAACCGACATGGATTGTTCGAAGACGTTGCTGACGATCGCTGTTTTAATACGATCTCCTTTTGGATTAACTTCATGATGGCAGTTTTTTAATAGGGAAAAGAATTTTTTACGAAATTTTTATCAACTGTACTTATATTCTTTCGAATCTGTGATGTACACAAACTAAATTATTACGAATTCAATTCTGTAGAAGTAGGATATTGTGTATTTTAATTTATCGTTTTCTTATTTTTTCTACTTTTGATGAAAACGATTTTCATCATATAAACTAATGAAAAATATATCAACAGCTGTAGTAAGTCAGTTGAATTATTGCTGTTTGTGATAAAAAGAAACTACCTTATTCGAATTGTTTTAAAGTGAAGAACTTTATAAGTGTTTAAATTTCTCTTTTCTCAATGGATGCTTCATAAACTATTATTAGAACGATAATATCGTCAGTGATTTGTGATATTCCAAGCTTATTCGTGAATATTTCACTTATTTGGACTTCATTGCACTTCATCCAAAGGTATGTTCCTTTTTTTTAAATTGTGTTTTAAACCTTTTTCAAGGTAATTTTTTTGATTGTATTGAATTTAATTGTTTATGTAACTCGAAATAATGTATTTCTTATTAGATGAAAGAAAGCAAATCATCTTTTAAAGTAAGAATTGTATTAAGGCATTATTAATTCGAAAGTCAAAGTGTTTCGTTATTTTAACAACTGAAATTAATATTACTGACGAAGCGCGATTTTAAATTTTTTTTTTGATGAATTTTTAACATCGCGTAATTAACAAGACTATTCATATTGTAATAATCACGATGTGTTACATGTAAAATAAATAATTTAGACAAGTTTACGATTCCTTTAAAAACTTAGTAATCAACTGCAGTTTTGACGTCATGAAATCAAATTAAATTAAAAATTTTTATTATTATTCAAATTCAATACAATCATCTTCAGCTACACGGACGAGTACACATTTTGACGTGCAAAATTTTTTTTAATCAGTCGTGAAAATAAACGAGACTAATTAAGTTTTATCTATAATATATTTTTCCTATCTTGTTTTATCAACAATAAGGTAAACAAAAATTTTTTATAAAAAATTGTTATAAATTAGTGTAAGCAACAAATCGTACACAATTTCGTAAAGCATAATGTACGTGAACAATCTTTAGAACCTGTTAGAATATGTTCAGTTATTGTCGTAACATTATTAAATGGAATATTTATCAAGCTACTTCTAGCCATTCGACAATTAAAGTAATAGTCTTCGATCTTGGGAGATATTCTACCAACTCACGATTGACTTGATAAATAACCATTTATTTTTGTAATGTTGTTGAAATTTATTTACAAAAACTTATGCGATTACAATGCACAGATTTTACATACTATCTTCTCAAATTTTGTTAATGCCTTCTTTGTCATTTCGAAATTAATCAGATCCTCCTTCTAGTTTTCTTTGGCGCCTACAAAATGCTCTCATTTAAACAATTTTAGATAAATTTCAAACTTTCAATTTTCTTATCAATTTGAACAGGATATCTGAGATAAGATTCCATCAAGAAATGTTCCCTGCAGAACCCAGCTTTCAAATTGCCGTGAAGATAGAAACCTGTTCCCGGAGAATTCTTCCTTCCCTTCACAGATGACGAGCCTGAGGCCAATCACAAGGTGGTCCTTTTCTTGAAAAGAAACCATATTCCTTGTTCCCCCCTCTTGTGGTTTACAACCTGGGGTGTGAAGACTATGGTGCCAGAAATTTTTTTATTGCTGATAATTGAACCGCCTTTTTAAGTGCTTGTTAGGCGTTGAAATTGCATTTTGATGGGTCTTCTTGCTTTTGTGTGTGGGCCTCTTGGACGGACCACCATGTCTGAATAGCCATTTGACCCTTGTTTTTTCAAGCTCTAGGTTGTTTTCCAAGATCTCCTTTAAACTGTGGTAAATTGCCTAATTCCAGAAATCACCAAAGAAGTATTTGGTTTCATGGATATGTGGTGGCTATGAGCAACATACAGGCATTCCTGCTTTCGTTGTTGGAGGGTACGCACATATTTCCTTCGTTGCTTGCTGACTTATGTGCTTACGTGATATTTATTTACAGAATCTATTTCAACCTATATTTGTTTGGTCAGTAGTATTTTAATATATTCATGTATATTGTTAAGTTTTTCTGCTTTAAGAATATTTCCACTCCTCCTTTCTAGTTAATTTTTTTTATACAATTGTGTAATTATTTAGTTTAATTTTTTCTTGAAATTTGTTATCGCTGCTTTGTAAGCTTTTATTAGCTTCAGTTGTGTTTAACAATAATAATAACAATAACCAGTTGCGTTTTTTAATTTAAAAATAATCGTCAAAACAATTATGTCGATGTGCATTGTTATCTATTACTAACTTATTATGCAGTTTGTTTAGTAATCTTGGAAAAACTCCTGATGTATTGTTACATTTCACGGACATTTCAGATAATAACGAAAACTACTGGTTATGTTTTTTCATTTAAATTGGTTCGTTTACCTTTCAAGTTGGTAACATTCGTATCGAAATTAAGTCATAACCACCACACGCATAGAACAGAGATAGGTTTAATATTTTTACAGTCGTTCGTTGGACTTCATTATTTCAGTAGGTAATCCTTAAACCAAGGGTTGTCATTTCTTTGATGGTTATGGTTACAAAAAATATTAAGGTTAAAATTTCGATTATAGTTTATTTATTGGTTTGATTTATTTAAGTCCAGTTAATGATCAGAATAATATTAACCGAATTTTGGCAATAATTAATTAACTAATCAGGTAAAAATGTTAATTATAATCCATTATCTAAAGTGAGATGCCCATTTCAATGAACGACGCTCGTTAAGACTTATCGAATATAATTAAAAGGCGCCAAAGCCTTTTCTGCAATAGCAACTTTCACCTCCCGATCATAAATACCTTTATTGCCGCTTCACAGCCGGATGTCTCCGGTATTTCCATTTCCTCAACATTTATCCTGCCAAAAGCACATCCTAATCAATCCGGTCAAGCAGACTCAATTATTATCTCATTGTGTCCCGGAGGCCGGACCTATCTCTTTCTGCGCAAAGGTGAGAACAAGTGCCGGATCGCCGGATTCATTAACAGCTGATAAGATTAGCATTTTCCTTCTAATAGGATGCCTCTTAATAGAGTTGTCCAGGTCCCTTTTACAAGACCCATATTAATTCTAATCAGAGGAAAAGATAGAATGAAATGCTCAGGGGGTGAATAATTCAGGAACTGAGCAAATCAATTTCGAATTTTTGAAATTTGATATTAATTGAAATGAATGATTTATGCTAATTTTCTTTCTTTTTTTTTTTGTAATTAAATTTTTTAAGCTTAATGTTAGTATTTGTAGATTCGTTATTTTTGTTTTTAAAGTCATTTTTTATCTGTTGAATAATTTTTATGTCAAAAAAAACTTTTTCTTTAAACAAATTCTTTCTTTTAAGCACTATCAGTTCACAAAAATATATATCATGTTATAAAGCACTCTTTTTTTTATTTGGAAAAATATGCGATTTGACAATAATTATCCATTTCAGAAAAGCCTAGATTTTCGTGATAGTTATTATTTATCTTATTAAAATCCTTCGATATTCATAAAATACTGATAAATTAATTAATTTGCTTTTTTTATCTGTCCGATAATTTTTGAATAATTTGTTTTTCGGAAAACAAGATATAAAAACTTCATTTATTTCTATTTGTAAACTTGTTTTATTTTCTGCTACCATACCCAATCATCAGTCAATCATTTTTTAATACACAAATTAGTATTCTTTTGTTAGTAATTATACGTATTTTCGAGCATTTCAAACGTAATCCGAGCGTAATTAGTGTAAACTGTATGCAATTTTGCCAAATGCAACATTAAGCTTTAAACTCTAATTTTCAGCCGTTAAATTCTAATTTTCTGTACGCGTCATTTTCTGAAACAATAATTAGCAGCTATTCAAATTTCAGTAATTTTAATTTTGTATTTACCAGTGAAGATTATCCAATCGCGTGAACGAATCTTTTACGTTCGCAGCTGCCTATTTATCTAAGAAACGTTCTTTTTCTACTGAAATGAATATTAATATTCAGTGGTAGCATTTGCTTTTACGTTTCTATGCAACTGCTTTAGTCTCGCAGTATAGCGATAATTTGTGCATCGTGTATAAAAGCTTTAATCGATATTTGCAGATGAGATTGTTTGAAATGCGTTAATGTCCCATTTACTGAGTTTAATGTCCGTAGTCTTTGCTTTTATGTTATTGTAATAGTGGTAACATCCAGAGGTACGGCGTATTAATATTGATTTAATGTGTTATAAAATTGTGAAATAACAAGCTATTGCAAAATTTTTTATAAAAGAATAATTTTTGTGTAAAATGCTCTACTGAAAGTGTAATATCGCTGTGTGTTTTACAGCATGCATAAGTAGATACACAAAGAAATCGTTTGAATTTATATATTTTGTTTATTTGTTTCTAAAATTAGGTTGTTAGGGCTTATAGTTTTTATTTTCTTCAATGTTTTGTGTTGTAACAACCTTTCTCTAAGAGGATTTATAAAAATTATTCTCAAGATATGAACCTGCTAATTTTTTTTTTTTTGGTTTTGTTTGTACAAGCAATGTTTTTTTTTTTTTTTTTTTTTTTTTTTTTTTTTTTTTTTTTTTTTTTTTNTTTAATTTTTTTCTGAATATGATATTGACTAGAAATTATGTATTCTTATGATACAGGCAATCGCAGATAATTTATTTCATTGAGAATATTAAAATATGAAAGCGATATATATAGTATTGATGAGTTAACATATTTTTGTAAGTTACTTTTAAATTTAAAAAATATATATAACTGTTTGATTAGCTGTTTCTTAGTTATAGCTGTTAACTTTTGCTTTGTAGAGGTTAATAAGTTTTCTTTTTCAATCGGTAAATTTCTTTACTATCATATTCCCTAAAGATTTTTTATGCACCAACTAGTAAATTGTTCATTTTTAAAGAAATGATTGATGTTCTTTCATACACCATTCAATCATATTAGGTAAAATACAAACAAAAGTGTGCGATTAAGGCGCTAAACTTTCGTATATTAATTTATCAAGTGAAACAAAAGGTTATAAATCTGATATCAAGATTTTTTTTCTTTTTACGAGAAATGTTAATTTGTCATTTTGACTCAGCATATATTATTACGCTTTCACTTGAGTCACGCTATCCTGCATCTTGAAAATAATTCCATTTCGAAATGAAAAGGTTCTGTTTTCCCCTTCAACTGAAATATTGATATTGTTTCTTGGGTCCCCTCTGCTCCTAGAGGTACATTTATCAAAGTCTAAAATCCGGAGTAATAACCGTTTTCACGCTCGCCAAGTGCAAAAGAAAATAAAGATGGAAATGAAATGAAGAAATGGAAAGAACAATCTCAGAAATAAGTTGTTTTTTTGTAATTTTTTTTTTAAAAAATGTTCTATTTTCACCCATTTTGGTAAACATTACGT